CCCCCGAACCCCCCCCCCCCCCCCGGCTACGGGCCTGCATATGAATTTTCAAACTTCAATTTCAGAAGAAAATACAACTACTAGCAGTAGGCACAAACATTTTCTTATCTCAAATGAAGTCACACAGTTCCTTTAGGCTATCATGTCTGAAGTAAAAAGGTCTAGTTTTTCCCAAAAAGAATCCCCCTTCTGAAATTGCTGGCTGCAGTAATGCATGTATATTCATACTGAACATAAATTTAGTGTGGTCAAAAGAAAATCTCCTACCACTGGTGCATAATCCTAGTTCAGAGCAGACGGTCTGTGGATCAGAACTGAGCAAAGACTTGAGTTCATTGATGATCAGAGGGACAAATGTTCCACACTGAAATCAAATATAGTCACAAATATGTATAACAAATAACTTTCAAACAAAATATTAAATTGAAAATTATCACACCAAGAAAACTTTTCTCTATAAAGGATACTTTGAATATATGACTCTGTTTATCCTATCAAGTATTAACAATCATGAACTAGGATCAGGGATCAATTTGCAGCTATTTCCTGGCAAAGTTCAATCAGCTGGGTTAGGCCAAATGTAATGTGCCTCCAGCCTACAGGAGATTATAGTTAGATTAGATTATAGTTTTTCAAATTGTAATCAACTGAGGGGAAAGCTCACCGTTTGTGTGCTTTGCAATATGTTCATACATTCATTCCACAAAGTGCTGTTCACTTTCTGAATCACTTCTGGGCTGTTCATCAGCTGCTCCACTGCTGTCACTGCTAATTTACACTCTTCACACCCGTCACCATTCTGGCAAAAGAATGAAATATTTAACCACTAAAAGCAGGCATGCCAATTAAATTTTTTAAAACAGCTCAATATTCAGCCTGGCAGTTATGAAAAATTTGCCAAACTGAAGGTCTTTTTTGCCAGCCAGACTGTAAATTGTTATTGTACTTGACACATTTTGTACAAGTGATTCACACAAGTGATTTATTCACAATTTAAGGCCCATTACATAAAGCTTGTGACTGCTAGGTGAACAAATTTTCGCCCCTCTCACCCCTTGCAAAGTTGGGACTTAGGCAATTTTTGATAGTTGGCATCAAATTCATACATCAAGTGTTAATGGCTTTTAAATATTGTATCCTTTTTTTTTGTTACATATTTGTGAGAGTAATCCAAAATTTGTCTCCCAACAGCAGTAAGCCAGGTGTAACAAGGGCTTAAGATACCACAATTTTAAAAACTGACCTCTATTCCACTTTCTTTCCCAATTTTCTGACGGAAAAATGTTGACTGGCCTAAAACAAAGGTAATTTCAAAGTGACAAAATGACAAAATACTCTGAGTCAAAAGTAAAATTCATTTCAAAGCTTTGAATTAATACAACTAAAACTATGAAGATATAGTAATAATAATAATAATAATGCATTTATCTTCAATGATATATTTTTCAGCTAATGTAAAAATGCAATAAAAGAGACACATAGAGTATTCCATATCAGGTATATCTATACAGTGTTAACATAAATATACTGGTAGTATGTACAGGGTAATTTTACTGAGGTCAAAAGAAAATCCCCTACCACTGGTGCATAATCCTAGTTCAGAGCAGACGGTCTGTGGATCAGAACTGAGCAAAGACTTGAGTTCATTGATGATCAGAGGGACAAATGTTCCACACTGAAACAAATCATTTCATAAATGTATAGAGAGTCACAAATAAGTATATGCTACCAAAAACATTCAAACAAAATGTAAAATTGAAATCTAACACGCCAAGAAAACTTTTCTCTATATATAAAGCTGGGGTAGCGATAGCAATTTTTTTCGCTTAGCCAAATCATCACTTTTTTTGTCAATTTGTTATCCAGATGCTGTTAATTTTACTAAAAGGAATCAATTCAAGCCCTTTTTGTTTAGCCAATTTACGTCAGTTTTAGCATTTGGCTAAATTGACGAGTGTTAGCGCTACCCCAGTAAAGGATACTTTGAATATATGACTCCAAGATTGCCTTATCAAGAATTTACAATCATGAACTAGGATCAGAGATGAATTTGCAGCTACCTCTTGGGAATGTTTAATGCGCCAGTTTAGGCCAAATGTAATGTACCTACAGGTTAATGGCTAGATTATAGTTTTTCAAATTGTAATCAATTGTAAGAAAGCTCACCGTTTGTGTGCTTTGCAATATGTTCATACATTCATTCCACAAAGTGCTGTTCACTTTCTGAATCACTTCTGGGCTGTTCAACAGCTGCTCCACTGCTGTCACTGCTAATTTACACTCTTCACACCCGGCACCATTCTGGCAAAAGAATTAAATATATATATAATTTCTTTAAAAGATTTCTTTAAAAGATTTCTTTAAAAGCAGTCAAAAATTCTGACTAACAATCATTAAGAATCTGCCAGAATTTTTGACAGCTTTGAAAATTACTGATAGTCCCTTAGAGAGCATTCACAACAAAGTTGATCCATGGGCTTACTAGTCCACACATTGAATATGATGCGCACTTGACAATGGATTCCCAGAAGGGGCAGAGCAATTAAATCTCAGCATGCTTTCAACTGGGTGGTGCCATATTTGATCATTGGATCTGTCAGGCAGTGTCTCAACTTGTTTTGTTTTGGATGCGTGCTTAGACTGAATGAACACAATATCATACCGGCCTTGAAATCTCTATATGGATCATGACCAGTAAGGCCTATATTTCAACATGTCTCCTACCAGACAATGAAAAATTTGAACATGCAGTTATTTTTTGACAATAACTGTGGTCAATGACTGTTAAATGGCATTACTTTAATGGAAAAGTTATCTTAAATGTGAAAAAAGTCTAGAATCTTGTACAAACCTTCACTTTTCCAATGCTGGTTTTCTTTTTCAGGGTTCCAAAAAGACGTTGCCCTGAAGATTGAATACAATTGATGTATTCTATGATAATAAAATCTGAACCACAATAAAATGAAGTATTTTAAAGGAATCTTAAAGAAAATCTTACAAAAAGTTAAATGGAAAATTTTACATCACAGCTCTATTAAATAAATCAACTAAACAACCTTAGTTTCAAAAATGGCTTTCCTTCTCAAATCCTTATGTAAAAAATGCTTCACAATTCAAAGGGCAATTACAACTAAAAATATCTATATAAAATGAAAACATTAGCAGTGTGCCATTTCTGCCTTGTTGACAAATAACTCACCACCACTACACATCCCGATTTCAGTGCAAACTTCTGATGGGTCTGTAGACAGCACAGACTTGATAAAGTTTTCAGCCACTGGTACAAGTGTGCCACACTAAATAAAAAAATATATATAATAACAGAGTATGTTTTGTTACATTAACATTAAATTTACAGAAGGTTCAAGTGTTATTTTAACTGTAAAATACTCAATACTATAGGTTTCTATTAGGTTTTTTATATATCCTCAATGCCTTTTAATGTAAAACAGTATAGTTGCCTTTTCCACATTTTCTTGGTTTCATTAAATTAGGTGGGAAACAGATACATCTACAGAGTGACCATCTTTATTTAGCCTCAAACAAACTTAAGTAATTTACATGCAAATGAAAAATAATAAATAAATCACCAAGGCTTCAAAAATGAAATAAATCAACTCCTTTGCCTAAATGATAATCATGATTACAACTTTTATCACCAAATCTTATCTCATATCATCAAACCAATATGAAGTGGTTATTTCAGATAATTCCTACTCAACCCTACCACAAAGTTCGCTCAGATATACTATATTATGAGAGTAATTTACCTCTTGGGAGCTTTGGGTTAATTCCATGCAGGCATTCCACAAGGTGGTATTGATCTTCCCCATCACCTCATTACTGTCCAGTATATCCTCCAGACCATTTACTACTATTTTGCACAGCTCACACTCACTGTCACCCTCCTGCAACAATTTGATATTTAAGGAATATATAGGATTTCTTGAAAAAAGACAGCATAACACTGTGTACAGAAACTTGTGACACCTGACACCTTCACACCTTTTTTATATTGAATCATTTCCCCAGGATAATGTTTACTTCCTACAGTTAATCTTTTTTTGTGTTCTAAACATTCTAGATGTAATTCAGAAATTTTCTTAAGTCTGTCAGATATTTGCAACATAAGCCATCTGCATGCCTGCATTAAATGTTTTGTAAGCACTCCATAATAAATAAAAAAAGTTATAATAATTGCAAGGTCACTCCTCTCCTGTAACAAAAATTATCATAAGAAGTTGGGCAGGGGTTTAACAATCATTATTACTAAATCAAACAAAAAAAAATCGAAATTTAGAAATTATTTTATATATATTTTAAATTATCGTAGATTATATACATGATAAATGTCCCCAAAATATCTGAGAGAATCACTGTACTCAATAAAACAGGTTTTTATCAGCTTTTTGATACTTTCTCATTAATGCATTTTAATGTAAAATACTAAATCAAGCACAAAAAATAAAATTAATTATATATCTATTTTACTGAACCGAGCCTTTATGCATGATATATATTTAAAAAACATTGAAGACAATCACTTATTACAAACAGTCACTGACATTACATCATTCTCACTGAAATGATATTTTGAAAAGAATTCTAACATAAGTATCAGTCCAGGATTTTATACACACCTGCACTTTTGCACTGCTCATTTTCTTCTTTAAGTTTCCCAAAAGATGTTGTCCTGAAGATAGAATACGAATGACAAAGTCTATAAAATTCTGAGGTGAACCACAATTATTTAAAAAAAATGTGTAAAACTTGACTATTTTCCCCAAACTGCCAACTGGATCATATACAATGATATTTGGCAACCAAATCTAAACAGAAACCAAAGCAAATATTTACATTTGAGAAATAAAAATATTATAACTACATTTAATCAATCAATAATCAATCAATAAAATACAACCTTAAGACTTTTGTTCCTTTTATCAAAAAATTAATATTCATAGTGCATCACAATTAAAATGGCTATTGCAACTAAAATATGCATGTAAAACGAAAAATAAGCAGTGTGCTACAAATGTATATGCCTTGTTGACCGATAACTCACCTCCAGTACACATCCCAAGTTCAGTGCAAACTTCTGATGGATCTGTAGACAGTACAGACTTGATAAAGTTTTCAGCCATTGGTACCAGTGTGCCACACTAAATGATAACAGGAAAATGAAAACAAAATGGTTCAACAAAGATGGCTATATTACAAAAATGTTTGGAAGATAAAGGTAGTGTTTTCGATCAAAAATACTCACTAAAATAGTCCTTATCCAATTTTTGATACTTTATCTCATTAATGCCTTTTAATGTAAAACAGTATGTTTGCTTTTTCAACATTTTTCTGGTTTCATTTCATTTGGTGGGAAAGAAAAACATCATCAGCCTGAACATCTCTTTTTGTTTTCAAACAAATTAAAACAATTAACAAGATGAAAAATTAAATAATAAATCAGCCACCAAGGCTTCAAAAAATGTAATTTATCACTTCTTTTGTCTTAAAACTAACCATGATTACAAGTTTTATCACCAAATCTTATCTCATATCATCAAACCAATATGAAGTGGTCATTTCAGATAATCACTACTCAACCCTACCATGAAATTCAATCAGATATACTATATTATGAGAGTAATTTACCTCTTGGGAGCTTTGGGTTAATTCCATGCAGGCATTCCACAAGGTGGTATTGATCTTCCCCATCACCTCATTACTGTCCAGTATATCCTCCAGACCATTTACTACTATTTTGCACAGCTCACACTCACTGTCACCCTCCTGCAACAATTTGATATAACTTCAGGAATAAATAGGGTTTCTTGGCAAACAACAACACAATTCCCAGAAAACTGCTGGCAACAGCAATACCTTTCTGCATTACAATTACGTGAATGTCTTTCTCAGGGTCATAAATTTTAACAGTTAACCTTATTGTGTGTTCAAGAACATTTTGTAAATAATTCTAAATTTTTCTCTAAAGTAAAAGATTCCATTGACTTTGGTATGTCACAGACACCTTTTGCCCAGAATAACCACTTTTGATAATAATAGCCAGTAAATATAAAGGAGAAAATTGTAAAATACCTGTATTTTTTCACCTTGAAAAGTTTTACGTGGACCTTAAAGAAAAGATACCAAAGAATAAAATATCTGTTGGTTATATTTAAATAGCAATTTCATACAACTGAATAAACAGCAAGGCCATCTTATCAAATTTTGATACTTATTAATCAAAAATCACTTATTTTAAGATAATCTTAAATTCAATAACTCTAGTCTGTTGCACCTTTTCATTTTCATAAAAGTATGATGAAATTTAGGTTTCGGCAAAGAAAAAATTTTAGAAAGAACTACATTTAATTAATTTTAGATGCACAAGAAGCAACAACCTCGGGTTTACACCTATACTTACACTTCCGCATCTAAAAACGATGCAAGTAAATCTCACCTCTTACACAAAATCCAATATCAGTGCAAGCAACCTTTGGGTTTGTGGACAGCACACTCTGTAACACATTCATCACAACTGGCACAAATATTCGACACTAGAAATAGAGAACCAAATAAAGACTATTGTGACAGATACATTTGTATATTTCAAAGATATTAACATACATATACATTTCCTTATTGAGATATTGTCTCAATCAAAGCACTTAACAGGTGAAAAGGGCAATTACCCCTGTGATAAATCTAAGTGAATTGAAAAACAAGCTTTGCGACATCTCTGTCTTTCTCTTCCTTTAAACTCAAACTCCATCCTCATCCCAACCCCACACCCTCTCTCCAACCATTAAATACAATTGAATATTCACACTATCGCTGTTTTGGGTTGCTCCTTCACACACGTTCCACAGTGTGGTATTAAGGACAGACATCACAATTGGGTTTTGCGACATCATTCCCACCAGGCCAAGCACTGTCTGGCAAATGACACAGCCCTTGCTGTCCTAAAGGTAAAAAGAATAATACCTCTAATTGTTATTGCGTTTACACCATTAAATTAATACATGTACCATAATCAGAATCCACATGTAAGTTTTACACTTGTATATTACTAAGGAAATTTAGTGATTTTTCCATGTATCTTATAACTAATGTTTGTTTTCAGAAATGATGACACTGATAATTGCTATCATATTTGATGTTATAATCAAAGAATTTTTGTGTAGCTCTTGATAGTCAAGAAGAGAAATGTGACACAGCTATAGACTACTTAACTTTAAATTTTCAGGAATAAGCTTGAAGCATGGCATTTTCAGACTTAAAAATATATCAAAAAGGAAAGATTTTATTCAAGATTCTTATCACTAAATTTTTTTTGGTGATTATCTTAATTAATGACCATATTAACAGTAAATAAACAAAAAAAAACTTATACAAACCGGCCTTTTTTTCTTTTGCATTAGTTCTTTGAATTTTGGAACCAGTTGGTTTCTTTGAGAAGAGAGACCCTGGTCTGAAAAATAAGTGATTTTTGATTAATAAGTATCAAAATTTGATATGGATTAGTTTTCTGATGGCTACTTGTCCGGGTAGCAAATTGCATTTTTACAACATTTTCTGACATGGGAAAACAGGACATACAGATACACTCAGGGTTTTAATACAAATTGAGATACATTTTCACAATAATCTAAAAAAACTTTTACCTGATGGACACATCCCAAGCCCAGTGCATGCTGCTTGTGGACTTGTGGATAATGCCTTTTCAATTTCAGACAAAGCCTGTGGTATAACCAGTCCACACTAAAAATATTGTCATGAAAACTAAAAGTATTTGATATTTTGAATTTAGATATATCATTCAATCTACAGATTAAAATACCCAATTTCAAACTGCAGGTTAAAATATTCAATATATGCAGAGTTAAAATGATACCCTACAATGACAAAAAGTTTGTTTTTTTTTTCAAAAGAGCATTATCAATTTTACATTTACTTTATTAATATTCTGAAAATTTCTAATTGTCTGACAAATTAACCCGACATCTCTTGATCTCTTCTATTGTGCTGTTATCAATCATGCTGTTTTCATTCTTAAAGTTTGATCAAAGTTCTAACTTACCAGCGTTGAGCTGTTGGTAACCTGCAAACAGTAGCCCCAGAGAGTTTGATTGAGCTGTGCCATTGTCCCTGGATCATCCAACTTCTTTTCAATCTCACCCACAAATACCTTACACAGTTCACATTCAGCATTCACCTGAAAGTTATAGTGCAAACATCAGTTGCCTTTGTATATTTAACATCTCTTTAATCAGACACACTGTATCAGTCTGTTAAATCAGGAAAACACTTGCAATTTAGGTCAAGGTTTACATATAGTTTCAAAAAAGATTTTATATTTTGCACAAATAATACCTTCAAATTTCTGCCTTCAACTTCTTGTTCCAACTTTGTTACTAGTTGGCTTTCATCATGAAACAGAGGGGTTCCTGAAATGTGGAATAATGTGTTATAATGTAAACAAGTATATTCTAGTGATTAACAATAACATGTTTTTATTTATCCTATCTAGGATTTTCCAGCCACACTGAATTTTATCCTACTCATAAATCATGGCTGGGCACTTGAATTTGTTGTTTTATACCTTTTTTTTAACAATTTAATTCCAAATTTTCCCATTATGTTTAGACTTCCATGCCTTCCATCATATTACAGAGAAAATTTTGAAACCAGGCACTTTTATTTTAGGGTTTTACTGAATTTAAGATCTAAATTAGAAAAAATACAAATCTTTACTGGTTATACAGACACTGAAATTTTGATTTTGGGACTGTTGCAAATACAGATGGTAATTTTTAGCTTGGTATTAATATGTTAAAAATATTTATCAAAGAGTTGCTAAAACTAAAAACAATTTATGGGTTAATTGGATTTTTTTTCTTTTTTTTTTTTTTTTTTTCTTTTTTGCACTTCCATACAGAAAAAAAACTCTGATATAAAATCATCCTTTCTATTCCATTTTCAATTTTCACCACTCCATGGGATATATATGAAAATCCCCAAAATGCTTATTTTCTGCTATCCAAAGCTTCTTATAAAACCTTAAATACACCTTTAAAATGATTAAACACCTTAAANGACGGCATGAAGCAAACCCTTTAAATATATATTTCTGGAGTATACCTGATGTTGATATTTCCATTGGAGCTCATATAAAAATGGTCACTGTTTTAATGACTGGCCAGTCATTTTAGGCTAAGGCTTCGTTCACATGGAAAGTCTATTTTCTAAAAATCTATTTTCTATTTGCGGTATATCTTGTAATCACGGTCTGTGCCCTGAATATCCTGCGGCGTAATTACTGGCAGCGCGAGCCAGTTACTTCCAAAGCTGTAATTAATTCTCGGCTGTGTGCTCGGAGGAGATTCTGATACCTTGACGCATGCGCAGTAGGAAGTTAGAAAGTTAATGGCAGCCGCGGTTGCTTTGAAAAATGTGTTTGTCGATTTTGTGCAACAACAAGACGAAGAAGATGAAGAAGCTATACACACGGCAGATACGAGTGCAACCGTCATGATCCAATGGCAAGCGATGCGGCAACGGAGGATGAGATTTTATAGAATGCGAGCACAGACGAGAATTAATTACAGCTTTGTATAAGTAACTGGCTTGCGCTGCCAGTAATTACGCCGCAGGATATTCAGGGCACATGTGATCATAAGATACCGCGAATAGAAAATAGATTTTTAGAAAATAGACTTTCCATGTGAACGAAGCCTAAAACCAACCTTTACAAATTTTATCAAAGGCTGAATCCAAATGCAGAGAGAAACAGATAAATGATTCATGGGTATGAGAAAAATTGTTGATTTTTCCTTGAAAAATCCATTTCGGCAGGTAAACTTCATGGAGTGTGTCTTAAAAGACTAACTGAACACATTACAGCAAGGAAAATGTCGGTATGGACACATGACATAAGACAAAAGTTTATCAAAGTCCATCCTCCATCCAAGGGATTGTCCAAGGTTGGATGGAGAGGAGGCAAGCAAAGAAAAAAATGGGCGGACAATACTGCCGAGTGCACTAGGAAGACCTTTGCCATGCCTAGAGCCCTCACATGATCACCAAAGTTTGATAATAAAGCATTCCCTAGCCCCTTACCCCGGAGGGTTACAAAACTGACAGATGGACAGTAAACAGGTACTGGTGCAAACAACCCTTTCTAAATCATATGACATGTGCTGTGTTATCTGATTTGGGTGTACATTAATAAAGTCTTTTTTTTACCTCCAACATTGTTCATGGATTTTGGAAGAAAGTAACAAATCTGTGTCAAATACTGTTGAAAATGAATAAGGTCAACTTCCATTAAAATGCAGACTTTACGAAAGGCGTCGGACAGTCGAACATGCCTGACAAATTTCTGGCCAGTCATTTTAGGCTAAAACCAACCTTTATAAATTTTATCAAAGGCTGAATCCAAATGCAGAGAGAAACAGATAAATGATTCATGAGTATGAGAAAAATTGTTGATTTTTCCATGAAAAATCCATTTCGGCAGGTAAACTTCATGGAGTGTGTCTTAAAAGACTAACTGAACACATTACAGCAAGGAAAATGTCGGTATGGACACATGACATAAGACAAAAGATTATCAAAGTCCATCCTCCATCCAAGGGATTGTCCAAGGTTGGATGGAGAGGAGGAAGGCAAAGAAAAAAATGGGCGGACAATACTGCCAAGTGCACTAGGAAGACCTTTGCCATGCCTAGAGCCCTCACATGATCACCAACGTTTAATAATAAAGCATTCCCTAGCCCCTTACCCCAGAGGGTTACAAAACTGATAGATGGACAGTAAACAGGTACTGGTACAAACAACCTTTTATAAATCATATGACATGTGCTGTGTTATCTGATTTGGGTATACATTAATAAAGTCCTTTTTTTACCTCCAACATTGTTCATGGATTTTGGAAGAAAGTAACAAATCTGTGTCAAATACTGTTGAAAATGAATATGGTCAACTTCCATTAAAATGCTAAAACATGGTGATTAGATTGGGCTTCTAAGAATGCAAAACTATACTAAGGAGAATTTAGGACAATTTCCAATATGTAAATTTAGAATTTACTGTCATAAGCTCATGATTGCCCGAGGCCAAAGACATTAATAAATAAGTAGTATTGGCAGAAACACTTAAAGCAATAATAAGTCTTCCTTTGAGATTCAAAATTACGCAAGAAATACATTGTAAACAACACATGGAAATATATTCTATTGTATTTTACCACTAAACAGCCGTTATTGTAGTAAAACTAAAATCTGTGCTTGTCAATAGGGCTTTCGATGCCTTTTTTCCCGGTCGTCAAGGCATCTGTTGCTAATGACGTAAGGGTGTCACGCGGATTCTCGCGTTCATTCGAGACCAAAATAACATGGCGCAAAACGCGTTGATACAGATGCAGACGTAAGTTGCGAGTTTTTGTACAGTGCGTCGGATAACGAAAAGCCCAGAATGGCACACATTGTGGATATAAATGCATTTTTAACAAAAAGACGAATAAATCTCATAAATCTTATATTATTGTTATATAGTGTTGTTGTTGTCTGCTTTTCCCGCGGTTTTAAGTAGGTCACCAGTTATTTTTAATTTTATGATTTAGTAGCCAGTCATTTAAATCACAGTGTCTTCCAGTGTATTTCAGAAGGAACTATCAACATCAGGTAGTGAGTTTTTTTTTTAGTTTTCAGGTCTGAATTGCGAAACATTTGTAGTTACTGTTAGTGCAGGATATATGTAGTCATAGAAAATATTCCGTTGAGAGTATCGCATAGGCATAGAGGTCTTCAGATGTTACAGTTTTATAAAATACTCAAAAATATCATACAATAAAGGATTTTTCCCCTCCCATTTTTATAGTCTAATGTGGTATCACAATGATGTTCTGTGTGATTTCTGGATTATGATCAGGGTAACAGCCAAACTTGTTGATAATTCAAGATTTATTTAAGAATTAGACAACTCCGTGGCACAAACTCAAATACTAATCCAACCCTCTAAATGTCAATTTGTTTGTTCTGTGTGACGCTGATCGAGCAAACGTTAAAATGAAAGCTGTCCGTAACAAGAGCAAGAGGTGGTTGATAACCTCATATCACATTATCAATAGCAAATTACATATACTGTAGTGTAGCTGAAAATGCGTATTCGCAAACACGACGATTCTTGAAACCTTTGATAAAAACATCTAAAAAAAACAGCAATTTTGAAAAAAATATAATTAAGGTCAAGTATGAATAATTCAATAAAAGCATAAACATTCAACGTACCTGCTGAAAACGCAAGAAACGCCAGGAAGAACAGTACACCCATCTTACCACCGACCATCTTGGGAGACGACTGAAGTCATATGACCAGCATGTGCTTGTTTGGTCATGTGACTTGTGAGCTCTGACCTCTGACCTTTCTACTATTCATGATTCCACAGCAGTGTTCACAATGGCGGATGAAAGGCAGACTTTGGCAAATTCTGAGAGGCACCCCGATTCTCCACCAGCCAGACAAAGGAGTCGCAGGAAACCACTATGCCCATGCAACACATTTCTTCTTAGCAAGATTTGTCTGATGATCTATGCAATATTCCTTTTGGTGAGTGAAATTGAATGAAGTTATATGTTTAAAAAACGAGCGGGTTGCTGAGAGAGACAGCCGCCTATTTTGAGTGTTGGAAGGCGGCGTGCCGGCAGAGTAGCTTACCATCTGCTGCTGTGGAAAGGTCACAGAGAGGGGAAAGCTATTTGATATGTTTTCTTGTATGTATGGGAATAGATAAAAAGTTAAGCGTGTCGATTTAACTATTCGTAGAGCTAGTTGACAATCCGTTTACAAAAATTTTTTTTTTGCATTTTTTCAACTTTAAGCCCCCAAATATCCCTCATTTAAAATTTAAAAAATATTCGGAAAAAAATAAATGAGAAAAGACAATAATATTTACTGTAAAGAAAATTGTTTTAACAAGCTGTGGCAACCAGTATGTGTTCATATGCAATTTTGTCATTAGTTTTATTATAACAACATAGACTATGTTGATATTATTATTAATTAATTAATGCAATGATATTGTTATTATTTTTATTAGAATTAATTGTCATATTCATGTAAGTGAACCATCAGTTTGTATTACAATAGTACTAAAAGCAAATGATTTATCAGCATTTTTCCACTTTCAATTATTAGATGTCTTTTTTCATTGAAAATAATAAAAAGTAATAAATTATTTATTCTTCTCATTTGTTTAAAAACCAAGATAAGGAAATAGTATACCTGGAAAATCAGTTACAATGATTTTTTAATAGTTTAGAATAGTTCTGCCCTTTTCATCTTTTTTCTCTGTACCAGTTTAATTACCTCAAATTATGGAGACTATTGCCTTTAACAGAGCTCTTCTGTTAGTAAATCAATACAGACAAAGGAAAAAGTGTAGTGAGAGGAACTTATTTCTGCTATCAGCTTTCCTGGTAAACTTCCTGATATGTGGCCTATCCAATTGTACGGGACAGTTCTAGAAACACAAACTGAAACTGTAGTTTATCAGATGATAGTTATATTGAAAGGATGGTCATTTGTATGATAGTATTCATGTTATAACATTTAACTATTTAGGCCAGCTTGCATGGCCTGCCAATTGTATTATCGTCATGCAATGTCATACAGCATATTTATATAGGGCATCTCGGCCTGCATTTCAGTATTTATTGTGGAAGGAAAAGATAATCAATAATGCCCTTGGTCTACCACTTAGCTGCCAACAAGCTCATATACATTCACATATATGCCTTGAATGTAGTACTCTTGTGTCATGAACTAACTGTATTTCAAAATTAATTTTCAAAAAATGTTAGGTTTCTATATGTAATATGATAACTTCCACCATGAAGTGGAATGCCTTATTATACTCATTGCCTATATACCCATTCTGTGTGCTGCTACAAGACTGTATGCAAAATTGCATACCTCTATCCAATACCTTTGAAAGAAAGTTATTGAAAAACTATATGGACTGGAAGGATTTAATAGGGTATCAAAAGGTGTTTATTTTATTGCCTGATACAATAGAAAAATCAACTTGAGACACACTTGTATAAGAACCATGTTGTTTCTGTATTGATCTGAATAAAGAACCGTCCCAGTCAACAGCTCGTGTGTTTGGCAATCCACACACAGACAGCAAAAACAAACAGCAGACTTAGGAAAGAAAATTCAGCTTTTTGTCTTTCTGTTATTGTAGTCACCTATGTTGAAATATTTATATTTGCTTTTGGGATTGCTCTTCTTCTTGACCAGGTAGAAAAAACATAAGCAGCAGCATGATTTTATGATGTTGCTTTAGTTATTAGATGGCACAAATCTGAACAGTGTCTTTGTTAGTGACTGTAAGACCCCATTCCCATAGATTTTAGTTGATCTATTCCTGTGGGGAGTCTCACTAGATTACTGTCAGCTTAGCCGGCTTAAGTTTCTGTCCCCGTCCACTAAAAGCTGTGAGGTGGTAATTAACTGTGGTGCACACTCGGCTGACTGCAATTTAGCGTGAACCCCCAGGGAGTTAGGTCGATCTAAATCTAAATCGCTGGATCGATCTAAATCTCTGGAAATGCACCCTAAGACTTCTAGAACAGAATCTGTTTTCTGCCTGGTCTCAACTAATTTCACATTGTTCAGTAGGCCTTATACTGTCTCAGTTTCACTTTGCCTTACATATCAACTTAAACAGATGAATTTTTTTGTCTGAATAGTTCATAAATTGTAGGTATAATACTGATACTTCCCACAATATTTTTTCATCACAGTTAACAAATGGTCTGATGTAAAAAAATGCTTTGACTTGTTATTAGAGTTTGATATTTTGTTTTTAAGGTGAAATATTCAGTAGTTTTATATTCAGGATGGGTAAGAACATATTGAGGTCTAAAATATAGGCTAGGTACTTGGTGAATCAACTGCATTACCCACGTAATAGGAGTGTATATACATGTGGTTAAAATTAGCACAACATTTTTCTTCAATAATGTTGTCTAAGATATGTCTGGTAGTCCTCTCTTCCTAAGACTAAATGTGGATGCAAGAAGCCTCTCCATATTAGAGGTCATTCCCTTAATCATGAGACCTTTTCATCTTTTTATCAAGTCATGATATATAGGAAAATAGAAGTGAGAAGTGTGTAGTGATTATTAAAGTGTTTTACAATGAACCAGATTCAGTTGCATGTTTGAAGTGTGGGTCAGAAATCCTTTGAGTAAAGCATTAATCAACTGCCAGGATAGTTATTGAAATGATTATATTGGAACCATTATGTTCAGTCTCTCCATTTGCAGATCATTGGTGCCATTTTGATTGGTGTTGGAGCATGGGCAGAGAATATTCGACAGAAGAATGCGGCAGTGAACACATTTTTATCCAGTCCCTCAGCACTGCTGATTGTTGTTGGATGCCTCATAGTTATCATTGCTCTAGTGGGAGCCTTCAGCACATTGCTGGAAAAATTCATTGGTATTAAAGTGGTAAGTAACGGTGGTATTTAAACAAATAATTCACATAGACTCTACATATGAATGCTGAATTTAAAAAAAATATTTATTTATTTTTGCAAAAGCAGAATACCAAAGTCTTGGATATTTATACTTAAAATTGAAAGAAAGATTTTTGCACAGTTCCTCTGACAGTTGTTCCTCTTTTGTTATATTGACAAATCAAAACAAATCCATCACCAGTAAACAAGAAGCTGCACCTTGGAGTTCAATTTTTTCAATTCTGAGTTCCTGTTTCCACCAGTGACCTCCACTGCAGCTGCTGCTATTTATCAATTTAAGTTCAGTTCAGCCTGGGAAATGGCAGTTAAGTTATTGGTAGGAGTAGGCACAGAGCAGCCAATTTCCCCTAAGGGAAACATAATACCTTTTCTTACATTATTAATGTTTTAGTGATGTCTACATTTCAATAACTCCCCATTTGGAAGGATTGAATCCCAGTAATATACAAATAGTAGCAATAGCATTGCAAACAAAGGCTGATGTTTGAAAAACTGTTTATTGAAAAAAGACAAAAAGGCCACTTAGAGCTGAGTGGGTATTTTGACACAATATACTTCCAAGTTATCTCAGTTTCACAATGCCTTTTATTGGCAATATGTTAACCCCAACTTATTATATTTTTCACATTTGGTCTGTGTACATGGTCATGTGCAATCTAAATTATTTTCATATATTGCTGTGTTCATGTCCAAATGCCAGTGAAGGAGCAGGCCTGTAGCCAGCAGTTTCAAAAGGGGGGGGGGTATTTTTCTGAAAAAGTGCCCCCCCTCTCTGTGGGCCTGGGAAGGGTTGCTTTTGTTTCATTATGAGTGAACTAAGATCAACCAGAGACAAGCAGTTCCAGACAGGTGTTTGTGAGCTATTAGGTTCTTTGTTAATTAAATATGCACATGCTGCTCCAAGGAAGTCCTGCATAATGTTCTGTATAGCTGTTCTAGCCATCCTGAGTTTCAAAGGACTCTGGAAACTCCTCCATCTGCTAGAGCATAGGCATGTTGATATTATGTAGGGTGTTTTCAGTGTCCTCTGAATCTCAGGGTGGTTGTAGCCTGCACTGCCTTGAATTATCCTGAATAATTGATGATAGAAAGAAACGGACCGCTTTAGCCAGCTCCTGCATTGATTTTATGCTTTATCTTAAACCAGAGTTATAGTAATTGGTTCAAACTAAAGCTGTGTTCGCACAAGTCTACTTTTGAGTGACTTTTGGTCTAACTTGCATCATCATCATCATCATCATCATCATCATCACCATTCTATATCCATGTTAACAGAAGACATGCAGGGGAGGGGATCCAGAGATATTTTCTGACAGTCTTCCAAATTATCTTTGTTGATTCATCTTCCATTTTTGACTGTCTCCACACAGATAAAAATAGATACCTGTCAATGTAAATTTGAAATTTCTGACTGTCTTCTGGAAGACCCAGAAGACAGCTTCCCTCCACCCTGAAACAGGTTGGATAACTTCCCATGCTAAAGATTTCATATGTCATATGTATATACAGCTTTCTCGTTAAGGCTGAAATTATGTGTTTAGACAGGATAAATTAAACACTGTATGTACCTCATTTATGAGTCATTTTGAAATAAACCAGAAAGTACATAATTTACTTTATCTTATTGACTCATAAAATTGAGTAAAATGTCATAGTCATATTTCTAGGCATGTGAAGTCAGGTTTAGTTATGTAAAGAACATAATACTTTCTATCCTGCTTGAAAGTATGAAAGCTGCATTACATCCCCAGGGGAATCATTGAAAGAGCTCTCCATCTGCCATTTTACCCAATGTTATGTCTGTTCAATATTCTGTGGTTCTCTGAAAACTTCCCATCTTGTCAAAACACTATTTTTCTCTTCCATTCAAGGTCTCTTAATTGCTCTATTGCGAAAACAAGCTGTAACACGATATTTAGCTTGAACTTCACATATCAGTGCACTGTCTGTGGCCATTCTGCAAGATGCCCAGTTACAAAACAATATTGATTAAGAAGAGAATATATATTGCTTGAAACAGCCACCTTCACTTGAAATATAAATACATTGCTGCAAGCTTGGAGATTGCCCATTTTATTGTGGCAGTAATGAAAATGTAGATGCTTTCAGTTGAATTGAGCAACCGGCTGCAACTTGCTAGAAAGAGATAAGATTTTATGAGCAAACTTAGTTTCCTAGTGTGATATGATTGTTTCATAAAGAAAAATATAGGATCTATACCCTATAGCTAATTTATAGTATAGCATTAAAAATTGGTTTAGGGACTCCAAGATTTAAAATAATGTATTTTATATGATTTATATTATATTTAGAGAACCCAAGTGGTGAAACTATTTGTAATAATACAAAAACTACAGCATAACAATACCAAAGTTGGTCGTTTTAAAATTAAGTGTCTCCCTACTTGAAAAAATTCTGGTCACTGTAAAGAAGTTCAGAATTCCTTAATTTATGAATGATAATTCATTATGTTATATTTCATCCTGTTGTTAAGTTCTTTATCATTATTTTTTTATACTTTCCAGTTCCTGATCTTGTTAATTTTGATCTTCTTGTTCGAGATTGTGGTTGGAGTTGTGGCATTTGTCTACAGAGAAGAGGTAGGTGCTTGATACAAATTTGCAAGCCATATGTCACTTAGGGGAATGTGGTAGAACAATACTTTAACTTTCTACTAGCATGATCATTAATCACCTTCATAAAAACTGCTAATATTACTCTTATGTAAAAGTATCAGTTACCATGATGGAAAAGCTATACCCAGGCCAAAATAAAATAATGAAAGTTTTCAGGCCATCATGTAGAGAAAGTTGGTACTATATCATGAGATCTGATACAGGTTCTGTCTGGGATCTGTTCTACAAGAGAATCTTCCCTGGTATTTTGTTAATAGGAGAGCCTTCATGGTTACCACGGCAACATTACTGCCTGTAGTGGTGTTAAGGGCATCAAAGGCCTCCTGCCCGCCTGTGACTCAGCAGAGGTGCATAGTTTTTGGATGAGGTGTGGAATTAATGAGAAAATTAATCTTACACTATATTAATTTATGCCTTGGTAAATATAAAATGCAAAGTGGGGAATTTAATACAGTGTGAAAGGTAACTGAATTTGATTTCATTTAGGCTGCATGTCGAGGAGTTTGTTTTTGATTTTATCAGGTTCTGATATAGACATATACTATTGGCTTGCAGAGGAGACACTTGTGGTATCTGGAGAGATTATCATGGCAAAGCTATCATATCTTGTCACTTTCCATAGCACCTGACACCAGAATGATTCTCTTGATTTTGTACATTGAACTATTATTAATAACTGTTGAACCAGTTGACAAGTGGCCTTGATCATCAAATTAACCAAATCATTGAGTGAGATTGTGTACTCTGTCCTTATGGGGGAATGTGGGCACTGTTATCTTTGATCCTGGACTCTGATAATACATTGTTCCTGATAATTATAGCAAATAATAACAGATTATTATCACTATGAACCTGGTAAATAACAGATTGTGTCTTGTGACATAATGTAGCATGTATTTTGACAGGTACTCCATTGCAAAGATAATTGTACTCATACAGTACATGTTTCCTTTAACTGATATACAGTGTACCTTCCCTTTTGGTCCAGAATAGAAATAATTCGATCTGTCTATACCCATATGATATAACAAAAGCATCCTCTTTTATAAGTAATGAGTTATAACTAAGATCTAATAAACAGAAACTGTTTATTAGATCTTAGGTTATAAGTACCTTCAGTCTTTTGAGACTTGACTGAACAACTTGATTTAAACCACAGGAAAAAGTGGGTTTATAAGACCAGTCTGTATAACCTCGAGATAAATAAAACCATTATTGCCTTTGGGTCTGTATCAGTTCATATTTTTAGACCATACATACTGCTGTCAGAGGTACATTTATTTCTTAACTACCTGAACTTACCACTTGGAAACTTTCCAGGATTCTGTACTCGTTACATTTTACATTAATTTTTAAAAACTTAATAATATTGCGTAGAAATAATAAGTTGAAACTTTTAAATGTCCTTTTTATGATATTGAATTTGAAAAATGAATTTTAGCAAAACCACCCAAAGCAAAGGCCGCTTTTTATACTCACTGTGTTATAATAAGATTAAGGCTTACAAATCACTGTAAGTAATCAAGTCAATGGAATTATGGAATTCTTCATGAATATGCTGAAATTTCCTGCTGATTGGTGGTCTCATTAGAGGAAGTCTTACTGTGAACAGATTGAGAAGGCTGAATCATTCAAATAAAACATGGCATGGGTTTGGACAAAGGTGCAACTGTAGTGTTTCAATAATCATACAGTCACATTGATAATTTTTGGACCACCAACTGTCAAAAAAAATCATTGTGTCATAAGTTTGTGGTTTCCTTTTTCAGATATAAAACAGTTTGAAGTATTGGACAATAAAATCGGCTTATTAGTTAGAGGGTCTGTTATTTCATTTGAGCTTACATGTATTTGCCAGGGGATTACAGAGAGTCAGAAATGGGAATGAATTATTTTACCACAGACAGAAAATGTCAGTTACAGTAATTTTTGGCTTGGATCTGCTGTTATGCTAGGCATCTAGAAGTCTGTGAGGTTTTGACCCAGATACCACACGCCTTTCTGAGTGTACTTCACAAAATAAGATTTCATATTCGTACTATGAGCATCAAAGTAAAAACCTAGGCAAGGCACCCATTAATATAGAGAACATTACTGGTAGCCATAGAACCTGGTTGAGAGCACCTGTTTTAATACTTAACATGGGTTTGATTGCTGTACAAGTGGGCTGTGTAATAGCATGAGCTGCACACAGATCTGGATCCTGTGCTTTATATGCTCCCTGTAGGCATTCTAAATAAGAAACACTGATCATGTAGAAGTGAAATAGTGATTTTCCTCTCAGAATGAACAGGTGAAATATATGTCATGGGGGGGGGGGGTATGCTTCTCTCATTTTGTCTTACCAAGTGGCTTAGAGGTTTGTGCCTAAGTCTAATAATGTGAAGGTGCATGAGTCACCACAAAAATGTCTATGACATTTACAATATCTGCAAAACATAAATAAGAAGGCATGGCCAGTTGTTTTTTTCATATTGGTCCTGTGTATATTCCAGGCAGCTGATATTGTTGGTGAGCACCTGAGGTTTGCAATAGATGAGTATGGGAAGGATGATGACATCACAGATGCCTTGGATAAGATGCAAGAAGAGGTAATAATGACCTGATGCAGGTTTATTTAAAAGCCATTGAAGTCAAAACTCATTTTGATAAATGCTCAATTAAATGCATTTTTTTGTGATGTAATTTGTCACCAGAACATTCATTCATTTCCATCTGTTCCTTTATGATTAATTTCTCCTGATGATTTATTTCCATATATTTTTCTTTTCAACCTATAATGATATGACATGTTTTAACATAACATCTCTAAGACAGTTGATAGTTAGTAGTAATTGAATTTGCTTTATTTCCATGTGAAGTCTGATAGAATTAAGTGTTAATACCTTTTATAACTGGCACAATTCCTACTTCAGATGAACTGCTGTGGGTTCATCTTGTACAAAGATTGGGAAAGAAACGAGTTCTACAGCTGTAATGCCACTGGAGACGTGGCTTGCGGAGTTCCCTCCTCCTGTTGTACAGAACAAGCGGTGAGAAACAAAACAACATTCACAAATACACAAAAACATGTCTCCATGCATTAAGACACGGAAGCAAATGTTAACAATGGTCAGCTGAGTGAGCAGGGGTCATGGTTGATGGTCATAAGTCCTTGTAATGTAGCTTTTGCCTTATCAGTTGGAAGTACTTGTTTTAATGATTGGTTAATGCAGTGCTACAAGAGCCACATTAAGATGCACATAGCTGGTCTTTGCTTAGGTTTTTTAAACGCAGACATGACAAGAATATTCTGGCTGCTTGATGGTTTCTATAGGGAATTATCTATTGTTGTGTATAGTTCAATATAAAACCTAATAGATAAGGTGGCATTTTCTTGAATAGCCAATTATGTATCAGGAAGGGTCTTCCTGCTGCATGTCTCTGATTTTAATGGAAATCATCTGAGATAGCCCACAGTATCTTAACTTGGTGTAAAATCAAGCTGTGCTTTGTGGGGTATGGAGGAGAGTGGAGTCATTAATTATCAATCATTTATTATGTCAAAGGTTTTCGCAACCAATAAAAGCTCACAGAATTAATCCACAGGTATTTTTCACGATATGTAAGTTTTTTGCACAATGTTTTGGGTATTACTTTTGTATTGCTTTTTGAAACGAGATTCCCAGTACATTGAGTTTAACCCTCGTTGTTTAAAGGTTAGCTCCATCCCCACAGGTACTCACAAGTTTTAATCATGTATGATATTAAGCAGTCTTGTTTTAGGCTATTTTGGATGATTTCCATTATTACCATCTGTTCTCATTAGACATGAGACAATACAAGTGTATAGGTCAAAAGTATGGCTTCACAGTCCACAATGAACATGTGTTGATGATCAGTTCAGTTTGTATGGTGTTACTCACCACTAACTCGTGAACTACTATTCACTTACTGAAATGTACTACCTGTACTATCTACAGTATAAACAGTGACATTATGTAAGAATATATTTATCATACTATACAAATATACATGTTGTATTGCATGCTCAATGTAAAAAATACTACTTTCAGTCTATTTATAATACTTCACCAAATTTACCTACAATATTTTAATTTTTGATGCATATGTTTTTTTTTCATCATTTCAGCTTGCAAAATCAGTAAGTATGAGATGCTGTGATGTGTATTTTTGTTTAAAATGTTATTTTAAATTAAATCTGTTACCGAAGATATACTTTAACTTGAGAATAATGAAACATTGGACTCTTCAAAAATGATTGAACAAATAAAATTTAAACCAGGCATATCACATTGTATACTTTATTAAACCATAAGAAATAATTGTGTATTTCTCATTGTTTATTTTTAGGGTGACAAGTGTGGGTGGAAAGTTAGAGATGCCAATGGGGTGAGTACAACATTGAAAATGTGACTTAAATCTTGGTGGGGTTATAAAAGGACTAATTTTAAAAATTGAGATGAAATTTTTATTCAATTATTCATTGATGGATAAACAGGATGTTGGGGTCTGTTTAACTTGAGGAAAAAAAGATAAACGTTTTAAACCAATGGACACTATATTTTATTGAACTATCACCAATTTATCCTTGATTGACATGGTCCAAAATATTTTGCCTGAAATTTAATGCCAACTTTCACCTAAACCAATTTTATGGAACTGCCACAGGTAGCTCAGAGGAGGGACCAATTGTATGTGACTGTGAGCATTATTAGTATTAGTATTAGTACTGCAGCTCCATCTATTGACTGGATCATATACTTCACCCTCCTTATACATCTATAATCATGTAAAATTGTTCTATAAATAACTAAAACTTTATATATGATGTCAGTAATTTGTATCTCCGCTCCCCCTATTGGCAGTAAAGGAGATTAAATTCAGATTGGTGATTTAATGATTATTATACGATGAGCATTTATGTGACAATTTTGTTAATCTTTTTAGGAAATTCATTCAGAGGACTGTGTTTATGTCTGCATCAGTTGGATAGGAGATGTGTTTAATATGAAGTTATCATTTTTCAGAACATTGATCCTGGGACAGTGATAAATGTGAAGGGCTGTGCCTATGCATTCATCAGCTGGATAGAAGACAACCTGGATGTTATTGGAGCCATTGCACTGGGATTTGCTATACCACAGGTGGTAATATGTCTCCAGTGCTTTGATACAATATTTTCCACTAGAGTAATTAAACTGTGGTTAGGTATAAAAAAAAAAACTTGTATGTTGTAGAGGTATACTATGTGTTAAAATGCATGTTAGAGGTGATTGTTCAACAGTTTGAAATTAAAGTTGAACAAAGAATATTCATATCCTGTAATCACTTTAGGCATCAGTTCAGTCCTAAAACTGCCTGCATAGTCTTTGCACAAAAACAAGCATATTTATAGAAAAAAATAACCCTTTATTGCATAACGTTGCCAGAATGGAATGCTTCATTATATAATGATTGTCTTTCTTAATATATAATTTTAGTTTCACATCTTAAACTTAACTGATTTTATATTTCACCTTTGAGAGCTCTGCCAGACACCAATTTTTGATGTGTATTTTATGTATATTATATTTGTTAGATGAATTTTTATGTTGTAGAGTTGATGGTCAGGTTGATAATTCTTATGAGTGTGGTTCTATTCCAGGTTATTGGTATCTTCCTTGCATATAACTTTATGATCATGGTAGATGACAGGAGACATCTGTACAAGTCCACATATATCTAAACCAAGGAGAGTTCAGATTGGTTCTATGCCAGAATACGGAGACGCAAAGAATGGTGTAAAATAAACTGGCCTTCCAGGGGTTGGAGACCTTGTTAATGCTTTATTACTAAGATGGTGACAATGCAAAGCATGTTTTTTACAGCTTATATCAAGTTTGGCGAAAAATAGGATGAATTAAGGTCATCAGTGACATTTGTGTTGACCTACACAAGTGGCTAGGTGCAAGCTGTCTTAGACAAGAGTCCAGGTCATTGCTGTGTTCTGTTAAAACCAGTGCCAGCTGGGGAATAGTGCTATTTATACAGAGACTTACAAAACCAAGATCAGTGTCCATACAGGATGGATGTCAAATTTGAGCATGACCGCTTGATATATGGTACTTGAGAATGATTAAGAATGTTTGTAATTTCACCATTTTCAATTTTGAGACAAAAGTTTGGAAAGTTAGTTGTGCATTGGATTGATTGATACCACCAAACAATGATGTGGGCTCTTGTTGGACACAGTACTTTTGAGGACAGACTTCCAGTTTGGAATTCAAGAAGTTTTGTAAAGGCATCTCTCAGCTGATACTGTTTAAATCTCAGCCGTATGTTTATCTTGCCGAAAGAATAGAGCTGCTGTCAGTTGCTCTGACAATCGCATATTGTCCTTTATGTAATACCTCTTATATAACTGGCAGCACAGCTCTGCCCCCCTGCTCTTGCCAAGCAGGATATATCTAAGCAATTTATATAGAGAACCATGCGATGAAACAATCTGTGTTTTCACACCCACCTAGCTTATTTTGAATAGTTTATATTTGTATCTTTATATTTTTGTGTTTTTGTGCATCTATTTTTTGCATTTTCCGAGATTATTAGTGAATGATTAATTTTTTTTTTTTATAACTTTGCCATTGGTTCACTTGCCAAGATGAAGGGTTAAATGTTAAGGATAGAACAGGTATTTGAAGGATTATTTGCAATTATGATCAAAAATGGATTTGAGGTTTTCATAACCCTAAAAGATATTTTGTACTCTTGTTGTTACATGTTGTCATATATAACCAAACAAACTAGTCAGCTCACTTATTATTCCCAGTTTGAATCTCACCACACATAAGCACCCTGAGTGTGTTTTAGCCAACTTTTGTTTACATACCAGTTCAGTGTGTCACATGCTCTCAGACATGAGAAATCACTTGATGATAACCTAAAGATACCATCAAACAAGTAAATTGACTATTGACCAGTTATATATTGATCTGTCTGGGAAAGTGTGACAAGAAGGGTTAATTTTTTTTTCAAAGAACATGAAAGTGGACTGAACTTGCTGGGGCAATCAGTATGGAAGAATTCAGAGTCCAGTTTCCTATGTGCCAAATATTACTTAAATTGGGTATTATAACTTACAGAGCATAAATATCTGTTCACTTTTTTAAGTACCTTAATGTTTAGCCAAAAAAGTTGTCTTTGTTAGATCTGTTGTAAGGTAGTTGACAATATTTGAAAGAATGAACCTTTTGTAAATATATGTAAAAAAAACTTAAAAAGTTTACTCCTTGTAAGTTTTGTAATGAATTAAAATTCTGTTGGTTGGTAACAAAATCTGAATTTATACATTTTTTGCAGTTTAACTCTAGCTGCCTGTCATTCTTGTCAGTGGTGTTAAAATGTTATCATTCAATACTATTCTAACTTTTGAAAATGTGACAAGAAAATTGATTTGAGCTAGACTTCCATTTACAGTTTTGGTGTATTTTATTCCCTAATCAGAAAAAAACTATATTCCTCTAGAGACACACCAAACTAGTTTTTTTCAAAACTGTTATATCTTTACTAGTAGAATAATGTTTTATATTGTTTTAAAAGGTGCTCATATGATAACCATTACATGATACTCCATTTTGCTTTAGCAATAAATTGCTAGTTGTGTATGAAATGTGTTCTGTACTTGGTAACCATATTTAAGCATATGTATACATATATTGGTTGCAAGGAGGACACCACCATTTAACCTCAAAGAAGTTTACTGAAGGATTGGGAGTGGAATCGCCTTGTCCATCTGTCCCCAAATTTGTATTTATCTCCCAAGAATTTCTCTGCAAGAGTCCTGATCATTGGTAGGGACATTGATCATTATCAGTAATTGAACAATTCTGATGTACTGTTTCTCATTTTCTCAATATGGTGAAATCGACCATTACATGGTAAAATAAGCATGGTAACTTCATTAAAGGCTAAAAATCAAATATAGCTTCATTGACAGGTGCTTGATGGATACTGGCCAAAATGAACTGTGGACCACTAGTAGTGGAAGAAGCGGGGAGCTTATTAAAATTCTGCAAAAAAAAAAAATAAATAAATGTATGGACCCTCCAGTACTAACGTTCCATAAACAGGTTGTGTCAGTGGCACACCATAAAGTATTTTTTTCAGAATAGTTTTAACACGTAATTTTTAAAATATAATGCAAAAAAAAATAAAATAAAATGATAAACATAGATGTTGACACCGCCACATATGTAACAGTTTCGGGAATTCTGGTTTTGAATTTCTTAATCTTGAAAATTTGTTTTCTGGATAATTTTAACATGCTACAAAAATACTGTTAATAATGTTCCTGTTGGTTTTTGTCAGTGAGTTTTCCTATTTTGTTTCAAATTTTCCTATGTGACATCGATTGCACGTGTACGCAAAGTTTCGAGCGTATGTGAAGACATTACCACTTGGTTTATTGACCACTCGTGAACAGTTTCAGTAACAACCTCTCATCTAAAATTACCCGTTGTAATTTGCTTAACAATGAGTTGCTCATCGTAGTATGAGCTGTATTCCCGAATGCTTACTTGGCAGTTGGACACGGTTAGGTGTAGATGCAACAGTATGTACTGTGAAGTCACAAGGTTGAGCTTTTACAAGGCGCAGAATACGTGTTGTGAGTATTACATTTTCAATAACCACCGCCAGTATATACTAAAGTCGCAGACGAAAGAAAGAATATTTACCACAAATATTAATGAGTCCTTGTACTACTTATCGTTTATTCCCACTGTTTAAAACTTGTATGTCACTCAGAAAGGCGGAATCTATTACTGTGCAATCCAAATGTAGGCTACAAATGAACGATGCACTCACCTGACTTTTGACGACAACCTAAATTTGCTTAAAATCTTTTAGTTCTCCACTTTAGAAGCTCTGTTTGAACGTTTTGTGTGTCCCTTGACCGCTGATTTTGAATATTTAACCTAATGAGAATGTCATGTGTGTATTTGAATACAAGTATTACCATCAAAATTGCTGATCATTTAACTAGATGATGCTTGTCCAGGGATGAGTCAGTAGGTCTATGGTCAGGTTTTATCAACAATACAACCGTATCTTTTGACAACAATTGTGATAGTTTTTTAAAGGAATTTAAAAACTTTTTTTATTTAAATGATCTTACCGTTAATTTTGCCTCTTTTAGGTTTTATTCCTTTTTATTAATTTTTACTTTGAAAAAATCATTATTTCCACATTTTAATATTTTAGGTTTTTCATATAATGTTATATAGAAAAACTGTCTGTTTAGTCTAAATTTGTAAGCATTATTTTCTCTTTTCAGAAACTCAATGAGATTCTGCACAACATGCGCCTGCAAGCAACCTATGGTATCCTGCCTTTGTTTCGCACCCAAGAACCCAATGCTCATTCGTGCATCTAATAAAAACTGAATAAATACTTTTGAAAGTCGAGTTTATTTAAATTTGTTATGAAATTATGATGATAAAGATAATAGTAATGATAACGGAAAATGAGTAATATTATTTTGTGTTTGAGTACTTTCAAATTCAATCTGCTCAATCTGATCTGTAAATATTTCCTTAATGTTTTTGGGATTGACGATTTCCTGTGGTACCCACCTGTCACCCCTTGTGTGGAATGAACTTGCCCTACCTACCACCCACTCTGATGGAATGGACTCGCCCCACCTGACACCCCCTGAATGGAATGGACACGCCCCACCTGACACCCCCTGAATGGAATGGACTCGCCCCACCTGACCCCCCCCCCGAATGGAATGGACTCACCTCACCTGACACCCCCCCCGAATGGAATGGAC